CGGCTTGAGGCAGAAAAAACATCACCTCCAACTTTGAACCACCCAAAACCCCTGTTGCTGGGGAAACGGCTGGCTGCCCAAAGGAACCTCAAAAGACCTTTTGAATCCCTTTGTATGATCCCATGGCCCATGACTCTGCATCAAGCGGCTCCATAGATGAGCTTTGCCAGGCCCATGAAAGCAGCCTGAACACAGTAAACCAACCAAGAGCCGCAAAGCTCAAGAAAAGTTTGGCGACCCTCACATGGGAGTTTCCGAATATTAGGGGTACCCTATTTTGGGGTCCTTATGATAAGGATCCTACTATTTAGGGTACTATATTGGGGTCCCCCAGTTTCGGAAACTCCCACATAAGTCTTCATTTTGTCGAGATGGCCCAGCACAACCGGGACCGGGGTTTTGCGATTCAGGGCGTAGGATCGTGCGGAATGCACTGTCTGGATCCATATGACCGTCGCATACCTTGTCCGTGTGTTCTGCGTTCTAGATGTTTGCCGGGTTTTCTCGGTCGTCGAAAGCTGTAGTTTATTCATGTTGTGTGATTTCAATATCGGTTGCAATCCTGAAGGAATCCGAAGCCTTGCGCAGTCGACTTCAACAATTCTCACTGGTGAGGAGTGGAGGAGAGACTATGGGAACTATCCAGGATTTTATTCGGGACCATTAAAGCATCCACTCTCCCTCTGCCCCTTAAGCATCAGCAAGAAACTGAGGTTCTAAGGATTTATGATTCAAAGTCTCGGCTTTAACTAAATGTGAGTCACGGCCGAGGGCGCAGAACGCCCCCTAACTCCCAAACACGCTCAACAACAAAAAACAAAACCCTGTAATCTCCGAAAAGCCCTATAGATCCCTTTAAGGAACCCTTATATAAGGGATCTACTTATTATCAAGGCCCCTATATTACACTCTCGAAAACCAAGAGACAGAGCACCTGATCCTCGTACCAGAGGTCCTCGCCCTCCCGCGCCAGGAGGTACGGGAGCCACGTCGCCGTGTCTCAGCCCAGGCTTGGAACTCTGCAGTTCGTGCTATCCCAAAGTAGGTTCCTTTACAGGGTTTATTTCAGGAACCCTTTTGGGGTCTCAAAAAGGGTTTAGGGTTTCAGGGTTATAAATAGCTTTTTAATGGAATGTGGGGTTTCTATACTAGGAAGTACCATTCTGATTTGCGGAAGTATCCTCCATAATAGTACCTACTGTTGATGGACAGAATCCTGCATTACCCATTATAAGGAATATACCATAGTTCCCATAGCTTCGAGTCCTTAGGGTCATGCAGGATTTTGTCCATCAACAGTAGGACCCTTTGGTTGGGCTACATTCGGTTTGAGGCTTAAGTTTCAGGATATGTTTGTTGATTGGAGGGGGCGGCTCAGGGGTTGAGGGTTTAGGGCTCCATTAGGGCCTTATAGATATACTGGACTATTCTTGAGGCCCCCGTATGATAACTACATATGGACTATGTAAGGCGGCATTTTGAGTTAATCAGAACTCTGCAAGCTGCAATTTTTTTTACGATGATAGCACATGCAGGGAAGCCTGCAGATTCAGATCATCAATAGTTGGACATCTATGTGCGAATTCTATACGGCCAAGCATCTGAAGCCGGTGTAAAGCCTGTAGGCCATCAGGCAGCAAACGCCACAAACAGACCAAGAGGCCTCGGATGGTCGGCACTGCAAAACTTCTCCAAGAGACGCTCTGCGGGGCCCTTAAACCCTAAACCCTACTTCACGCTTTAGGGTTCAGGGTTCACTCTAAAACCTAAACCCTAAGCCCTAAGACCTAAACCCTACTTCACGGTTTAGGGTTTAGGGTTAACCCTCAACCCTAAACTGTAAACCCTGAACCCTCAACCCTAAGCCCTGAACCCTCAACCCTAAACTCTAAACCCTAAATCCAAAACTCCTCCAAGAGTCGCTTTGCGGAGACTGCGCCCCACCCAAGCCCATGGAGGAGCTAGGGGATCCCGTCGGCGAGGCGCCTGGCAGGTCCGTAACTAAGAGTCCTCAAGGCCTTGAAGTAGAGGATCACGGCTTTTATTGCAGTATCCTTAAGGGAGGGGGGTCCAAGGGGGGTATATAGCCTAGTGATCCCTAATTCTCCCTAGTACTCCCTAAGGTTCCCTTACTGTCCCCTAAGGATTCCTTATACCATCCCCCCTTGAACCACCCTCCCTTAAGGATCCTATAATTTTAGGGAGTGTAGGATTTAGGGTTTAAAGTACGTAGAAGCCAGAAAGTTGGAACATAACTGTCCTCATACCCTCAAGGTAAAGTATAAGGGATCCTAGTACAAATCCTCCTAAAGCCATGCTCCAACTTTCTGGCTTCTACTATATGGTTTCGGGGGCTTACTTGAAGGGTCATGGGACTTAGTAATTAGGCTTATAGTTCGGGTAACTAGACTTATAATTCTAACCCCTTTTAATATACTTATAAACCCTAATTACTAAGTCCCATGATCCTCCAAGTAGGGTTTGGGGATTTGGACTTCGGGTTCAGGGTCTCGGGCTGCTCAATTAAGGGTTTAGGGTTTAGGGTTTGGGGTTTTGGGCTTTGGGCTTTGGGTTTAGGTTTCAGGGTCTTTGATGGATCAGTACTTCGCATTTTGATGAACGAAAAAGGCTGGCAAAAAGGGAGAATCGAGTGAAAGCAAACACCGACGGAAATTGAAGCCCAACTCGGTGGACGTCCTACTCCACGCATGGCCGGACTGTCTGGGGCGCGCCCCACGACTGCCCCGCGCGGAGCTGGTCACCCTGCCTTATGAGTGGCTCGAGTGTATCAAGACCAGCGGTGGACTGGATATTTTCCGCAGAGTACTCAACCTATCGGACTACCGGGCCCCTTTGTCGCTCGGGCTCCCGTGTGTGAATCAGCATCGGGTTGCGCCGCCTCCTAGAAATCCCTTCGCGATGGAAACTCATATGTCCTGCTTTTCTTGCAGGCTTGTGTCTCCATGGTGGATACTGACACGTTTGATCCAGCCATTGCCGAGCAAACCTCATGGGACGATCACCGGGCCGCCCTTGCGGTGGAACGACGGAAGTCCAGGTGCTGGGCTCTCCGGTCTCAGCTGTGAGCCGATTACGGTTCAATGCGGGCTCGGGCTTGTGGTTTTTGATGTTGAGACCTTTGAGATGTAGGGCTTCTGATGTCTAAGGACTTGGGGCTGCGGGGTTGCAGAGTTTAGGCTTCAGGGCTTTAGGGTTGTTTGAGGCTTTAAGGATCATTTAGGCTTTGTAAGGTTGATGAAACTCGCCAGGATTCGGGCGGGGGCAAGCGCGGCAAGTATATAATTAAGCACACAAACGAACCCTCGGGCACTGTTTGCTTGTCTGCACCCTGTTTTGGAAGCCACGAAGAAAGATCTTGTCTTCAGGTTTCATTGTCTAGTGTCCGGAACCCTGCATCCGCAAAATGATCATGTTTCTCAAGATGGTGGTGAACTTGTCATTGGCAGTCTGGAGAACCGAGTTCATTTCTTGAACGAAGCACACGAGTACAAAGAGTGTTTGGAGCTGGCCAACAGAATCCTGACCACACCGAAGGTCGAAGCCCCATATCAAAGAACCCGTAACCTCTGCCTTTGCATCTTCCAAGGGGAAGAACAGCAAACCTTTCGGATCCGATCAAATTGCACACGTACGAAGTGGACTGCTGCCCGACACGCTAAACCCCTAAACCCCTGACCCTAAAAGCTACTTAAATGCTAAGCCCCTATACCCTAGACTAAACCCTCTAAACTATAATTCCTTCGTGCCTTCCAGCGGGCCAGTCTTGTTGGCATCTGTTTCATCTGCCTCCTGGGTAAGGTCTACTGCGCCGGCTCTCAAGATTCACATGGGTAGCTCTCTAAATTAGGGACCCTTCCAGGGTCCCGCTTATAAAGGTGACGTACTATTTATTCTTGGGACCGAAAAATCCTAGGGATCAAAATAGCCCAAAGCCTGATATAGTATGGTCTTTGGGCCCAGAAGCCTCAATATGGGAGACCCAGGGAAAGGGACCTTAATTTAGAGAACTATTCATATCTTACCTGGCCATGCGGATCCAATCACCTCGGATCGTTTTTTGTTAAACCTTATAAAGGCCATACCGATATACCCTATAAGGACAAATGGTCATAACCTCCGATTTGTTATGCTTGTGTATGGTTTGGGGTGAAAGGGAAGCCGTGTTAACCTGTAGGCTTCGCTACATGTCGGGGACATACATACCTTAAGCTGGGGCTAGCTTACTCGCAATGCCTGTTCTTATAACCGACTTTCCAAGTCCCAATATCCTCCAGTACTCTGAAGCTCGGGGCCCTCGAAAGTTACAGACACTAAGTACCCTGGTGCCGAGAACTTGTAAAGAGATCACCTAGCGCGTTAAGGGGAGTGTTTAAATTCTGAAGTCAGAATGGGTGGAGCAGTGACTTGCCTGGCTCCGGCTTCAAACAAACGAGAGCGGACTTCCGTGCCAAGCCGGCGAACAGAGACTCTGGCTACACAGACCCCCGTATAATCCAAAAGGTAGAACCCCTGTAGTTCGGGACCCTATACTACTAAAGGGTCCTTTATAGGAACTCCTTATTGAACAAAAGAAGTACTCGCTTTGCAGAATGTTCTATATCTATCAGAAGTATGTTTGAAGCCTCATTATATAGCGGCCTTCATAATAGTAAGCGTGAGTTAACAAGCCCCTGTATTGCCCAACTTGCGATGGCAGGTCCTCCGGCGAAGCCACAAATATCGTGACCACCCTGGCGGCATGCAACCATTGCCGATTGCACTTGCCAATGCGGGGGGCGGGGGGGGGGGGAATAGGAGCAATCGATCGGCTCCATTCCGCACTTATTGGGCTTAGGGTTTGAAGCGTATCTTTATATACCGTCCACGGTGTCGATTGCTTGAGACGTGCCCACAGTTTTCGGATCGGCCATGGCATTGTAGGATTCAAAGGCAGCTTAAGCACGAACCTTGACCTGCATCGAACGCCAAACTGACATGCATCATGTGATCCTAAGCCTTGGGGCACGCCCGGAATTTGCGACCGATGTAGGACTTTGCTTGGTGATGCTAGCTCCAGTGGCCAGAAGCTCCCGGATATCGCTTCGCAAAGACCGATAGACATGCAGCGCATTCAGGCGTTCATGTTCTAGTTGCATGCCTTGGAGTCGCTGCAGCAAGTGCGCCGCTTCGTCAGACCTGTTTTGGTGTAGTCTGTATCGAACGAGACGGCGGACTCTGAGGATGTCTCTTGCTCTTTGGCACCCTTCTGGGCTCAAGGTCTGGTATCTGCTTTGGTTGCCGGACAGGCGAGACACTTGATCTCGAAGCTCTGCATAATGCAAGTCCTTGAAGCTCAGACCGAGCAATGCCTGTGGCTTCTTTAACAAGAGTCCGTTGTCCAGCAGCCGTCGCATCAGCAAGGGCGTGGCAGACTGCCCCTCGACACGAACCGTGGTAACTCCAGACTTTGCGTCAAGTGTCCAAGATGATGTCAAGCCAAGGTCTGTGCGCCAGAAACCGTCAATCCAATGTAGCACAGACGTGCTCTTTTGGGATAGTGACAGCTTTACCGCAATTTGAGAAGACGGGCACATGATGCATCCCTCAGCATCGAAGAACCCTGCAATATATGCCCAAGAGCAGCTGCGATGTGCAGTGTCATACTGCGAGTGGCTGTTCAATGCTGTCAAGCGTCGTTTCGCATCCAGCCTCAAGTGCTTTTCAATGGGCCACGATGCTGCCACACGAAGCTGAGGACTCTTTACTACGCATTCGGCAGCAAGCTTTGATGCAGCGATCTGAGCTGCTTGCCCGGTGATGGTCCACTGCAAGGATGGCTGGCTAAGACCAAGACCACGCTTGTGTGTGCTCACGGTTCCGCCAAATGTGGTCGCAAACAGGGACAACACTTTGTGCCTTGGTGCTGCTTGGCCCACGTGGAGTCTGCAGACCCCTTGCGCACAAATACAGCCATCTCCATCAAAAAAACCTGCCAGGTAGGGTAGCAGAGGTTGGGGCAAGACAGTGCCGTCAGCTGCGGTGTGGCGAAACGGAAGTGGGAAAGATTGGCCAAATGCCTCAAATTCAGTCACTGGTGGCCACAGCAAGCGGGACTGGAAGGATTTCAGCACGGCGATGCGACGCCGAAGCACTTCTAAGGATCTTCCAGCCATGCTGAATCGATTGGCGGAAAGGGTTCAGGGTTACGCCTTCAGAAGCTCGACACGAGACGCAGTTGTAAGAGCCACGCTTTACGATCCCAAAGGCTATGCTGGAAGGAGGAAACTGGTGTGCGCCAGCAGCAGAAAACAGGATGCCACTACAAAGAGTAGCTACTGAGCTCCCATTGTAAAAAGTGGTCTCATCTAGCCTGTCCAGCCCGGAGAAAGCAAGGACGTATCCGAACCCATATGATGAAGATTTCATCCTTTCCGGGGGCTCGGTACCATTATGTACAGTATGATGCATCGACAGGTGTCGGTGCTGACCTCCCGACCTGGGTTTCAAGACGAGATTGAGCAGCTTTGCCAGGACCCAAACTTTTAGCCAGAAACCCAACACTCCGACATGCAGGTGCAGTTCAGAAGGTCAGACCCTCTTGTGCTGTCGGTTACTCAAGCTGCGGTGGGCTGCCCGTTGAGTGAGCAAGGCTACGATTGTAGACATGCCAATACCTTAAGAAGATCAGCTGAAAGGGCATAGGCTCGTGCAGCACCGATTCACGGAGCTCCAAACACTAAAACATGATCATTCTACCAGAGCAAACCAACGGAAAGGGCCGTAATTTTCTGACGTTTTGAGTGGAACCATAGTTGATTTGAACACTGAAGGAATATCCGTCGGAACTCTCGGAAACCTAGCTGTAGCCCTAAAAGCAGCAACGGACTCCAGGGAACTCGTAATTGGTTTGTAAACGTAAGGCAACTATCGCTGAATCGTTTTCTGAAACGTAGCCAAACGAAAAATATTCAGATAGTCCAACTTGGAGTCTTGATTTGGGATCCTCAATGGTTTGAATAGGGTTTTGCGAGATGTCAAAAAGTTTTGTAATACATAGACTAGTGTTACTAAGTCCGACTTCCATAGTACGTATAGCTCCAGAACACGAAAATCAGAAGGTCCCTCCTGTAAAGAAACATACCCCTCCAAGAAGTCCCCACAAGAACGGTGAAAAGTGTTTTGGCAGCCTGCAACACCTGTTCCCAAATCACTGACAGGAGGAAAAGAACCCTGCAACCCGTCTCCAACCATTCATTGGGGTATAACGGGGCCTCTTCCCCAGTTGCTGAGTTCATAAGGCCCAAAAAGTGTACACTTTCAGTTTTATAGCGGGTAATACCGTGCCAAAAAGTGTAAAGTGTATCCACTCAGCTACTAAGCTTCCAAGGGTTCCCCATGCAATTCGATCCAACACGACTGCTGGGTCTCATGGTGTTCTCCCTGCTGACGCCGTGCCCGGCCTTTGTAGGTCTATAAGGGCCATGATCACGAACACGGCATAGAGAACTATTAACGCCTGGGTGGGACGGTTGATGATATAAATCCTGCATTACCTTAAGGACCTTAAACTATGGGAGTAGAGTATATTCCCTCTTATGGGTAATGCAGGATTTATATCATCAACAGGAGGACGCAGGGGCACATGGAGCGAGTCGTCAGCCACGACTTATAACCCCAAAGACCCGAACGAGATTCAAGTGTTAAGGCTGTCAAAGCTTAGAGTCTGGGATATTCGGCCGAATTGAACTGAAAGCTTCCGTGTGAAAGGTTCCGTGGGAGTTTGGCCACGACGGCCCGAGGTCGGCAGGAACCCAGCTTCGGATTGCAGCCATAAGCCGCCTCTACTTAAAGGGTCATGGGACTTAGTAACAGGGTGATAATTTGGGTAACTATACTTTTAATTGCTTACAACCCCAATTGGGGTACTTATAACCCTACTTACTAAGTCCCATGATCCTCCAAGCAGGGCTCAAAACAGCCCCAAAGCTTTACATGGCAGCACGTTGCTCATGCCTGTTTTCTGTTGAGACAGGACCTATCAGAATTTATGATGTCATCTCATGAAGTTACATCTCTAAAGTCTCAGCCCTGATTCGCAAACTCTGGTCAGACTCTGCATCGTCCATAAAACCTTAGCGCACCTGCAGCCCAAATACCAGTTTTTTAGGGTTTTAGGGTTGGTGGGTCCTTTGCACCCCTATAAGACCCTACCAAACCCCGTATAGCCTGCCTCTATTTGTGGCTCATTCGGACCCTGCTAATTGCCGACACCTGTATGGGGTCATAACGCGTCATACCCTACGCCAGTTCCCCTACTCCTACTGAAAGGTACTTCTATGTATATGTATATATATATATATACTTATGACAGATCCTCGCCACACAACCAGGTACCCTCAAAAAGGGGGTAGGTTATGACCCCGTAGCCGCAGCCATCGATCTTCAAACAACTCCTCGGCTTCCGACTCTCAGAATTCCAACAAAAGAAATCGCCTCCTGGGATGGCGCAGGATGTGTGGTTTAGGGTTTAAACCGTTAACTAGGGTGTTCAGCGTTCAGGGCTCAATTTGTACAAGAAGCAAGGTCCCATTCGCGTTTTAGGCTTCGCAGTCTTTCTGGTCTGTTCCTGCGTACTGGTTAAGGGCCTTCTGGGTTTAAGGTTTCGGCATTCGGGTCTGAGGTACATCTCCCCGCGCGGGGTGCTGCATGACCCCTCACCCCGCCGATGCCAGGATGCTCCATGGATCTGCTAAACCCTCTACTGGCCTGTAGGAACCTTCTGCTACATTGGTACGAGCCTCATGTTGATGTGCCGGTCTGGCAAAGAAGTGCAAACAACCACTGGGGCTTCGAGGCTTTGGGGTTGGGGTTGAGAGTTTCGAGCGGACGATGAAGGGTTAAAGATTTGAGACTTGCGATGCAAGTTTCGAGCCGTGGGGACTTAGCATATGTGTATGCCTGCATGCATGCAGGTTGATGCGCATGCATGTATGTATGAATGTGCTGCTCAATGACTCCACGAGCTTTAGGTTGTTCACCTATGTCTATGCCTTTCTTTGCATAACTTTGAAGTCATGTACTTCTGCCTGCACGTATGCATCTGCAGCGTTGACTTCAACTGCCAACTCTTCTGGGGTAAGAGTTGCAACAAGGGGTACGATGAGGGTTGGAATAGGTGGGCATAGTTGGGTCTTGAGGCTTTAAGCTTGCAGGGTTTCAGGGCTTTCGGGATTTTAAAAGGTGCTTGAAGCATCAGAGGCCTTTGTCGGTCGGTAGTTCTCCCACGTACATGCCGTGCAGTCCAAAGAAACCCTAAACCTTAAACTTTAACATTAGACTCATTAAACCCTAACCCGCGACCCTCAATCCACAAACTGGACTCTAAACCCCAAGTCGGACTCTAAACCCCAAACTGAAGCCCTAAAACCTGAACTAAACCCTAAACCCCAAAAGCCCGAAACGATCCTAACATCGAACGCCCAGGGTCCGAGTCGTCCGCGAGAATATTCTCGAGGTCATTGGGACCCTGGAGCGCCTTCGCGAGTGTCGCTGTTCCTGGCGGCGTCGGTTTAGGGTATAGGGCATAGCATTTTGGGTATAGGGGTGTAGGGCATAGCATTGTGGGTATAGGCTTCGGTCCAGGGTATACCTTAACCCTGAAGAACCTACCTTTTAAATGACTTATATAAGGAAATCATATTAAGGGGCCCTAAAACGGTAGGTTCTTTAGGGTCCAGGTAGGGCATAGCATTTTGGGTATAGGGTTTGGGGCATAGCGTTTTGGGTATAGGGTTTAGTTTCGGGTGTGTCGGCTTACGGCGTACGAGTTTACGAAGAAGCTGAAGGGCTTGCAGTGGTCACCAAGATTAGGCGCAGTCGTAACGATGAGTATTGAATTCCCAGTTTTGGGCTGGCTACCAACAACAAGTATCGAAGTGACACTGCGATGTGTAGCCTGTGAGCCTCTGGTACTGAAGTCTCTGGACAGGAGGGATGGAATCAGGGTCTCAGACAACGGTCGCTGGTATACGAAATCTTCGCTGGCTGACAACAACCAGGTGAATTTCCCTCATGATGAAGGCTTTCAGAAGGTCCCTGGACCTCGTGACTGCAGATCGTATAGGGGCACAAATACTGAGCAGTACTATGCCTGAGGATGCCTTATTGTATTTATACTAAAAGCACCCCTGTTCTGGAATGAGTAGTGCCCCTAAGTTGAAGCAAGGAGAAGGCAAGCGCTCCGGGCTTTTCATCACTCTGAGGGCTTAGGCTTGTAGAGAAGAGACCACGCCGAAAGCTTCTGCTAGAAACTTATGTAAACCATCACTCTAAATCAGTTGAAAGTCCTACTTGGTGCCTTTCAAGCCCACACATGCATAAAATCCGCAATTGGTCCCTCGGGGATACCACCGGGTGCGCCAAATGCGACACTACACGGTTCTGGATTTGGGGTTGAGGGTTTCAGGATACACAGCTCACTGTTGCGACAATTCGGCTGAGCTGCAAAGACCCTTCATGCCCTAACTGCCCCGGACCGTAAGCATCCCTAAACCCTACAGCCTGCAACCTATAGAACCCTGAAGGGAGTCATCTCAGAAACCCTGTAAAAGCATCCTTAAGACTGTGCGGTCAAGCGGCCGTTGAGTACGGTACCGGAAACTAAGTGCTGCAACATCGTCGCAGCTAGCCATGGATCAAGAGCCAGATGGCTTGCAAGTTTCAGCATGTCGAGACGCCCAACAACATGAACATGTCTTAGTTTAGGGTGCAGGGTCGAACTATGTTTTAAGTGCGGGGTTTGGTGTGGTATAAGAAGAAGCCTAAGCGCAATCTGAAGCGGCAAAACCCTCTTGACTGGAGGGCCCATGCAGTTTAGGAGCCGACCCGAAGCTCAAAACCCCGTAAGCCCCCAAGCCAAAATCCCTGCTTCCCAATAATCCCCTCACCCCAAACGTTTAATATCCTCACTGAACATAAGCCCCGAAATGCCACATGCTGCAACCTGTCCCCAAAGGTCCATGTACCCATATAGCACAGACCCTGGCCCTGTGGCCCTGAAGTACCTGTAGAGGAATTCTTCAAGGCCTGGGCCGTTCGGGTTTCAAGACTGTGATCGGTCTTGTTTCCTTTGGAGGTTCATAGGAGCTGGAACGCTGAGCCCTACTAAGGGTTT